ATTGACTCATGCTCCAGAATGTCTGCAGAATTTCTCTCTTATCACCGCCTGTGAGTAAGTATTAAGATTTCTAAATCTAGTTGTTTGATTTAAATGACCAGAAAAGTCTGTCACCCAGGACTGAAATATGCTACAATAAGAAATCAACTTAATTAAAACACTTCTCTGTCTCAGAGAGAACGCTGTATTTAAAAATATACGGTGTTACAGTGATTTAAACCTCGTAAGAGCTGGCTTTACATAGAAAAAAGTCTTCATGTACTATGTATATAATAGAGTCATTTTCAAGAAAATGATTTACATTTAAAAACAAGGTCACCTCCGGCCTCGCTTTCACTCAAGGCAAGGAGGATACTCAGTATTATTCAATCTATTGAAAAACGGTGCATTAAATCTCCAGAGGACGAAATGGACATCTATGAGATAACCTTTTGTGGACTACCAAGCTGGATTGGAATACAGAGGAACGACACGGTTGCCTTCATAAACAACATTGTACTCGTTGCTGTCAATGGATCTTCTGCCATCTTTGCATTCCTTAGTAACCTGGCCGTCATTGTTACAATCATCAAAAGCCCCTCCTTACAGAAGCCATGCAACATTTTGCTGTGTAGCCTGGCCATCGCAGATTGCCTTACTGGAGTTACTGCTCAGCCCATGTTTATCGTGTGGCGTTTTTTTCTTCAAAGAGCCCAGCAGTCATGTCTACATCAAGTTCTGGTGTTTGACGTGTATTACACTACCTATTTCTTTACCGTTGGTTTATCTTTCGTCAACATTGTTATCATCAGTTTTGATCGCCTATTTGCCTTGTCTAGACCTTTGGTGTATATAACTGAGGTGTCTAAATCAGGTGAGGTTATTATCAGTTATCAGAGATATTAGGGAGCTTATTAATAAGCAACGACGACGACGAGGACGAAAACGACAACGTCAAAAAACAATTGGTTTTTTGAGCAAAACAACAGCTTTGCACATGCGTCACCCTTTTAGTGCATTTTTTGACGTTCACTGGACGACGTCGAAGTGAAACCTTCTTAGACGACGTTTTATGGAGGACTTGAACATACTATGACGAATTTTCTCTTTTTGAATCTGAATGAAGTCCTTAAAAATTAACTCTAGGGGAAATTGATTTCATTTGCAAACTCGAAAGGGCCCAATAGACGCGACAAAGTTCAGAAAGTTTGAAAGGGCGCAAATTCATCTTTTTAAAAGACGTTCTCACTGCCAACGTCGTTGCTTAAGCTCGCTATTAGCAGCATCACGCCCAAATGACTCTCACCAAATCCTTCTAAATTGATCTCGAACTATAACGCTATAATTCAATTCAAATTTTGAAGGATTCGTTAAACTCATCATAGCTTAGCCGTACTATTAGCCCACCGCCAAAAAACTCTAGGGAAATCCCATCATCACTTCTTTAAATAGACAATAAACTGACAGCAAGAAATCCTCGTTAGGAAACCTTTTTATCAATTTTTATAAGCTTTTAGTAGATTTCTACTAGACTGTAGCATTTCTAATACTCATGTCTTGAACAGGACCGTTTCTGCCAATGGAGATATTGGCCACCTACTTTTTTGTCCTAATTGGTTTTTGTGTTACTAGCTTTGCATAATTATAAATTTTTATTTTCCTTTCTTTGGTTGATGTTGTTTCTACACCGTGTCGTCTAAATTTGTCCCAGCCTAATGTTCCTTGTTTGGTTGCTAATGGTCCTACACTCAGAGCTTAAGTAAGGCTTTGTTCACACCATACCGGATAGCCTTTCGTGCCGACACGAAAAGATATCTTGTATTATGGACTGCAAAGGCACAAAACTCACATTGCACCAGAGTGTGACACAAAACCTATCCGATATGTGTCGCTCCGCTTTCGAGATCGGTGCGGCGAAGCTTTGCTCCGTTACAAAAATCGCACCGAAATCACCGTTCCTATGTGTGAACAAGAGCCCTATCCCGTATGGTTTTCGTTTCAGCGCTAAAACTATCCGGGATAGTGTTAAAATAGCCTGTCTAAACTGATTTATTTCATTTTTGCAGGAGTACTAAAAGTTACTTTCTTCTCGACCATTTTGTGGCTGCTGTTGACAATCTCATTTCAGTTTGTTTTGACTACTGGGCAAAGACTCGTTCTCGTCCATATTTATGGTGCGGTGTTTGTGATACTTCCTCCTGTCAATTATATGAGAGTTCTGTTCTTTATTCGTCGTCATAACGCCCATCTGGCTGTTGCTGTTCCGTCTCACATGACAACAGTATTTCAGCGCGAGAAAAAGGTAGCACTCGACATGTGTATTATCACCGTCTTGCTTTTCGCTTCTATCTCGCCGGCTGTGTTCATGGTGTTACTTCGAAACCGATATCCAGGCGTTCACTCTATTCTGCTTCCTTGGAGTTTAACAACGGCGTCCATTCTCTCCTCTGTTAATCCGGTAATTTATTTTGGACGGAATAAGAACATGAGAACTGCTTTTAAATTCATCATGAAACTATAATGGGGCAGGTTTCGCCAAGCCGAACCGTGGACAGCCCTGAACCGCTTCAAAGCGGTTCTGTGATACATATATAGGCTATTTAACGAATCATGTGAATAGAATATTGCTCAGTAAAAAGACATGATATATCTTTTGGACTTGGTAATTATTTGGTGAACAATATCAGTAATCACCATTGCAAATTGTTCCATATATGATTAAATTTTGTATATCCTAAGAATTACTTGTATTGTGACTTTAAGTAAGCGTGTCCTGTAAGATGATGTGCTTCAAGAGTCTGTTTTGGGACCTGTATTGTATCTCATGTACAGCTCCTCTCAGTGANGACACAAAAACGTCAATTCACTGAATAACTACTCCGCTATATCTGACAAAAGACAGTAGCACATCTCTACAGTATTATCCAGGAGAGGGGAATCTTCTACTTCTGTTGCTACTTCGTCTTCGCCAAAAGTAACAGTAGATGAAATTACATCGGTATCTACAGTTCAACCCAGCAGAAGTGCGGGAACTTTGCCCTTTCTTTACCAGTGCCAAGTAGGAACAGTGAACATTTTCACAAATTCGCAGAATCCAAAAGGCAGCGATTTTGAGAAAACACATCAGTTTAAAAGACGGAGAATTGTTATTGATAGTAGCAATGAAAGCCAATAAACCGTTCTTTGGCCTTTTTTCGTGCTTTTTTTTTTCACATTTCGTACACATCTATTGAAAACTTTTTTGCCGCCTTATGACTAAGATTCGGTAAATTATTACTGTTATGATTTAACTATAATTCAAAGCTTTTTATTACTTATCATTTTTTGAATTTTACTTACACATTTTTCAAAGCTTTGCTTATATTTTGTCATTGTAGAGCCCTATTCAGCTCAGTGTTATTTCTCTAGATTATTGTAAAAGATGTCTTATATTGCTTAAGTATGGTAAATTTGAGCCGTCGCAAGTACTTTTTGGCGAATAAAAATCTATTATTTCATCGATGTCTTTTTGTCTATATAATAAAAAGAACATTACACGGCGGCTTGAAGATATGAATTTTATTTTCTCGTGGCAAAAACATTATTTTACTCACCCGCTGCGCTCGTTCGTAAAATATTGTTTTGCCACTCATACCTTCGCGCCACCGTGTAATATCCTCTCTATATATAGCTCTGTAGTAAGAAGTTATTACAGTAATATTTTAGATCCGGAAAACTTGGTTTTGTAAATTAATTATTAACTATACCTCGATATAACGAGCATTTTGGTAGTTTTCCCGAACTTTCGATAAGTGGAATTTCCCTTGTCCCTTGGCACTTCATTAAGGTGGCTCCCTAGAGTATTTACTTATAACCCTAGCTATCTAGCATACGTTACAGAAGGAAATCTAGTTACTTTGTCTTTGCGATTTGGTTTACGAAATTCACCGCTAAGTTTACCCATGTAAAAAGGCTCCTTTATCAAGTTTCATTTTCTGGATTAAGGCCGTTGCCATGGCAACATGGCATCCTTAATGAGGCAGTAATTTTGTCATTTTTGATCATTTTTTCTTAATATTTCTTTTTCCCCTCGGTGAAATGTCTTTAAACTTTGCCACTTTATGTTAACGATATTGCTTAACATTTTAAAGTGGAAAAAACATGGGGTTGTTAAGACGGTTTCGCCAATATTTTGAAATTTGTAACTTTTCTTAATAGAGGAGTTTAGCTCTTACAGATTTTAACAAGAAAAGGACAGTACAAAGGTACTGCAACTGTTAAGAAATGAGGTGATTTTAAAAAAAAAAATTACCGAAGGAAACGCGAGAAATTCACGGTTAATTAACTGCGCTGACGTCACAAAAATCCGAAAAACACGCGTGGTTCGGGGTCGTATGAGCAAAATACGCGCGCGAGCCATCGCGCTCGCATGCGCATTACGCACATAACTGAAAACATGTGATTTCTTCGAAAAGTACAAAGCCATTGTTAAAGCTTTTTATCACTATTATTACGGTGATATCTCGGCTGTTGAAAAAGGAGAGATAGCGGATTCAATTTCATACCAAACACTGGATGTTTTCTTGGAAATACTTAACCATTGCAGCCGAAATTCTAGCCGTGGTGGTCACTACTCGTGCGGATGTGGTTTTGCGAGGATCGCGATAAGCCCTTTATTTCCTAATCTGCTGTACCGACTGTTTGAAGATCTTCAGATGCCAGCCCACTTCCGGATACTTTTTCAACCTTGTTCCTTTTGAGGATAATTTCGACGGCGAAGTTTTTCTTTAAAAGCCTGCTGTAAAAGATGGCACCGATCTAAAAAAAGTACATCACGTCCTGAGCTGCACGTACAAGATCGTAGTTCTCGACGGATAACCTACTATTGCTTTCGTCAAGGGTCAATCTGTGACTCAAAAATTTATTTTTCGTTGTGCAACCACATTTTCTAGTGCACCTTGCGCGTTAAGGAACTTTTGGAAAGGAAAAAGTACAAGGATGTTGGTTCGTAGATGGAAAGGTTCGTTCAATCAGGATGCAAGTTAACCACTTCTGATAAGTTTTTTAAACAATGTGATCGAGTCGCCAAAACAAAACAAAAATTTATACTTGCTGTAATCTTGCCTTGAAGCCACTTCTAGAATTTTTAATCAAATGAAATGTAAGAGAAATGAAGTGACCGAGGAGTCCCGCCGATGAAGACATTCTTCAGTGGTTGTTCGGGACTTGGCTCGATCGTTCAGATCTTTTCACTGACCGTGAACCAAAGGCCAGAAACAGTAACAGTAGTTTAGGTTTAGTGTACTTATTTCTTTGCTTTCTTTGTAAAGTTTCCATTCACAATTTACTTCGACTATTTTACGTTTGTCTCCTTTTGAAGCGAAAGAATTGATGTCTTTGGAAAATTTCTGCTTCGTTTTTACATACAATTTACTCTTGTTAAGATCGATAGCGACTTGTAACCGGTGTAATTTAACATTGTCTCCTCTCATAAATGTTTAACCTATACTAACTTTTTGCACAGTGAACTTCAACAGAAAGTTAATAAAGTTTTTTTTGGGGAATATTTCGTAACAAAGAGGTCATGTTTGTTTTATTTTTGCGTGGAAGTCGCACGGGTTTTAAAGCTCGCGCCATACTAGTGCTCAGGCTGCGCACGGCCAATTTACTCTAGGGAGCCACCTTAAATTATTTATTCAAAATATTTCTGCGTTTCTGATTGGCTAGCCTGCGTAACAAGCGTTTTCGCGAATGTTAGAGTGGGAGCGATGAAAGAATGGGGAAGGGGAGGGGGAAAGAGGAAACGCTTGCCCGCAAACCCCACGGTTCTGGAAAACGCCCCTTGATATTTTACGGTTCTGTTTATTTGTAATTTAACAGCTCGTCATGATAGATAACGAACAGACTACCACATTTGAAAAATTTCCTTTGTTCCCTCTCAATTGCAAAACTGTAATGAAAAGACGCTTTACAATAAAAGAAGGTTGAAACTCTACGTGATTGCTGCGGAATTTCTTTTCTTTATAGTTAAGTTAAATTTTGAACGTTATGTGGCTTTATTTCATCTGAAACCTTGTCAAAACGTCGCAGAGAAATGATTTGTCACGAACAAGTCACTCCGCCAGCTATATGAGTTTTGCACTGTGGCTGCTGTCCATAGGCCAGTTAGTGTCGAAAACTTCTCTACAATACATGCCGCTAAATTTCCAATAAGAAAAGAATTTCGGATCTAGCTAGTGTCCAATACCAATGTTCTGATTTACGTTGATGTTATCTCCAACAAACAGTCCATTTTTTCCAGTCAGATACACAAGCCGTCATTCCCAATAAATTGGCCTTCACCAGTCTTCACTGCTTGATCTCCAATTATAATTTGAAGGGACTCAGATCTGATAAACCTTCGTACAAACCCGATTCAAATAAATATCAGACCAAAGCATTTGTAATCTGCGACAACTAATGAGATCACTAATAGAGTACTAAAGTGTGACGTCATAAAAATGAAATTTCTGAAATTATGGGATTTGTCAGGATATTCTGAAAGAACAATGCCCAAGAGGCCTATTTGCCAAAAATGAAAATTTCTGGGCAAATTGTCCCTGAGATCGTAGCCCAGTTATGCTTAGAAAACTCCATACAAACCCTTCTAAATTTTTTTTGGGTCGACCCAAAAAAACATTAGAAGGGTTTGTATGGAGTTTTCTGAGTTTAACCGGCTAACATCTCAGAGACAATTTGCCCCGAAATGTTCATTTTTGGTAAGTAGGCCTCTTGGACATTGTTCTTTCAGAATATCCTGACAAATCCCATAATTTCAGAAATTTCGTTTTTATGACGTCATCACTTTAGTACTCTATACTCTGCTACTTCACTAAGAAGTAAAGCGTTTTCACATGACGTCACGTCCGCCATATTGGTGTTCCAAAACGATGAAATGGCGGCCATGTTGGTGTTCCAAACCAGTCCTTTGTCCCAATAAGTTTCCATGGCTGCTGGTCACTTGGGTAAAAACATTCTATTATAGCCGGTGAATCATGTTACAGATGATATTACATTGCACTTTTAGTTTCACTGGAAATAGACCAAAATAAATAAAAAAAAATCCACGCTTATGAGAGCGAGGCATCTTCGCACAACCAATCAATGATATTGGAGAACCATCGAGCGTTGTCTCTCCTTTATTTACCCATGATGTTTTAATAATTTCAAGTCCTTCTCGTCAAGAGGATTTACTTATCAACACCAGTGTTTAACTTCCTCTGAGAAAAAAATTTGATAAATGTGGTTGATTCTAGACCACAGAATAGCGGGATAGAGTAACAAGCATCTACTTCCTTTTTAATGAAACAGTCCACTGCTTAACGGTAAGGTCGTGAGCGTGTTATGAAATAACTTCCAGCGATCAAAGGCCCTGATTTTTGAACAATTACTGACCTAGTATGGACAATAAAAATTATTTGATAATATTCTCTTGTTCGAATTTCTAGTCAGACATAACAAAGTTTACGGTCAATTAAAAAAAAATAAGGAAAGAGACGTGAA